GAGTTGGCTCACCTGTAAGACCCTGAAGAGATGAGGCAGGACTGGAGTTGTGCGGATGGTGGCTAATAACAGCAGAGAAGGAATGAAAGAGAGACAGAGCAAGAGAGAGGGTGGCTTGTAGGTTGAGGAAGATTCAAACCAGGGGAGAGGCTCCCCAGGCAGAACGCAGCCCCAGGCACCCCAAGTGTAAGATGACACCATCTGATTGAGTATTTTTGGCATTCAATCTGAAGTAGTGCAGAGAAAATGAGAGGCAAGAAGGAGACAAAGGAGAAGGCCTTTAATGTGGGCATGGGAGCTTCAAATGAGAACAAAGAAATGGGACTTATTTTTATCAGTTTTGGCTGGGGGAGGAGTTTGGGAAGTGGGCAAAATGACATATTAACCACTAATTTGAAGGACATTCTGCCTGTGTAAAACAGGAGGCAGAAAAATTTAGGGGGATTTGGAGGTAGAGGCCGGGGTGGTTGTGGAGTTGGGACTGGAAAGGGCTTGGTGCATGCACAAAAGGGAGTAGGCGGTTTGTCTCTGGAATAAGAAGGAGAACATAGAAATTACTCTAGGAGAGGCAAATTGTTTCTCTGGGTCTGGTATCAAGTTGAGAGGATGTAACTAAACCCCAGGCTAGCAGAACCTATCACTTACTTGCCCAGGCTGGGCTCGAACCTGGAATCTTTCTGCCTTAGCCTGTCCCAGTGCTAGGACTACAGGCATACACTGTCTTGTCTGCTTTCCATTTCTCTCTTCATATGCTCTTACTCACTTTTAAATTCACTCATTAAACTCTTAACTTTAGTTAACATTTTCATTTTTGTAATTTCCAATTGATTCTTTATTGATCTAATCCATGATAGTTTTAGTTCTTTCTTTTAACCTCTTTATTCTAATTATCTTATCATTGTAAAACTGTGAATCTGGTAACTCTGTCATTTGGATTTCATACTGTTTATATTTTTCTCTTGTTCATTTACATTATTCTTGAGTGTGCATGGTTATCACTGATTGAGAACAATGTATTGCATACAAAAAAAAAAACTGCAACAATTTATGGAGCTCTGCGTGACATTATCTTCCCTGAAGATGTTTTTTGCTTCTCATAGAAAGGTAGTCAAAAGCTTGCTAGCAAAGTTTTATTCAATAGTTTAAAAATCTTGACCTAATGAACCTAAAATTTACTCAAAAACTCACAGAGCCTTTAACACAATGTGGGTTATATCTATCAATACTTATATTTAAATTTAAGATACTTATTATTTCATGAAAAAAGTAAACTCATTACATATCCCCATGTTTCACATGATTGGATGTCCTTTGATACTAAATCAAAACTGAAAAAGTGATAGTTTCCTGAAGATTAGTTGAAATATGTAATCTAAAATTATATTAATGAACTTATAGTACTCTGTTACATTAAAATGTATGGGCTTATTTGTCTCCTTTACTTATGCATAGTTATGTATGATCTTTTACTTAGTGAAAATTCTGGTTCACAGTTATGCATATTTTGCAAATATACTACATCAAAAATGATATTTAATGATATCATCCACAGCCTTTAATTATTTAAAAATTTTCAATTTCATGGTCTCCGAAAACACTAATTTTTGCTGGAATTGTATCTTCACAAAAGGATAAAAATCTGTTATCTGTTGTTTTTCTTGCAGTGGTAGACTCATTTTGCTTATCTCCAAACGTCTGCCTAAATATTTAAATCTGATTTAACCAAAGTTTTGTCATTCTTTCAAAATAATGGTTAAAGCTTTATACACTTGCTTTTTTTCCCCCAAACTAACATGTTACTTTGAATGCAGCCAAAGTGCTTTATATGTACTTCCCACTTTGTCATTTTGAATAGTAAGATAGATATTGAGATGTTAAAGCAATGTAATTAAGAATTTACTGATTATTCAATGACATTCTAAAATGAATTTTTTTCCAGTGAGTGCTCAGTGATAAAAAATGCAATACATAATCATGTAAGTTTAGTGCTACTGCCTTGATTCATGTTAAGGCTCCAGTAGTTTATCCACCTTTGCTTTTGCATTATGAATAAAAATATCTATGCATCAAGAAGGTAACTATGGTGTTAGTATTATTAGTATTTGATACTAGGTTTGATATTATTAGTATTTGATACTTAGGTTTGATATTATGAAATTCTTGAATGGTTTTTAGCTACCTCCAAAAATTTGGAGACTACAGTTTGCCTCCAAAGAACTGGGACTACAGTTTGACAACTGCTAACGCTACAGGCAGCTGAGTTAGAAATATTATAGGTAGCCAAACAGGATTAGGGCCTAGGGAGCCAATTTAGAAGACCAGTTACCTTGCAACCTCGGAAAAGACACACCTCTGCTAGTGGTCTAATCTCAAGACAAAAAAGCAGAACAAATACAACCACATCCTAATCATAAATATCAGGGATTGATATTTTAAATGATATTTTAAATCAGTCACCTTGAGGAAGCCAGGAGTCATTACCAGCAAAGACCCAATTCTGTATTCATGCCCGCTGACTTGACTCCCCCATCTGATTCTAATTTAATCAATTTTACCTGGGCAATTATGCTCATAATCCTATTGGTTGACCATAGTTCTGTCCCACCTCATGCCCGCTTGCCTTTTGAGTTCTATTTTTTCCCCACCATGAATGCATCTCACCTCGTGGTTTTGCCATGTTAAAATGCCTGGAAAAGGCAGGATTTTAGGCAACCTACTAGGGACTCCTGTTTCTCTTTCAGACAGAAGCTTTTAATATGTATATTTTGCTCTTAACCTCTGTTGTTCCTAAAATTCATTCTTTGATTTTAGAGAACACGAACTTGTACTGGACATTTGGTAGGTTGGGAGTTTCATTCGCCTAATTCACTACTTTAATCATGTACTAACATGTTTTAAAAGTTGGCATCAGTTTAAGCAGGAATTATTCTCATTTCATCTGTAAGAAAACTGAATCCTCATGTGAAATGCACTTATCCCAAACGGAAAAGTTGTTAGATTGTAGTTTCAATGTAAAGCCTGAATATGCTAGTCTTTATCAATATTTCTGTAATATATGTTATAATGCAATGTAAAAGTTATATATATATATATTGAAGCTACAAATACCCTCCATACAAATATCAACTTTCCAGTTTTTGTACTGTACTATAATTACATAAGAGATGGTAAGCAGGGAAAACTAAGTTAGCAGTACGAGGGAACACTCTGTACTGGCCCCTTTACTTCTTGTGAGTTTGTAAAAAGTATTGGAAATCTTTACCTACTGAATAACTCCACTTAGATAAGTTATTTCAACATAATAAAATTATAGAGATGAAAACATTAGTGGTTTTCAGGAGTGGTGAAGGTATAGAGAATGGCTATGTTTTGTAAGTAGACAATATAAGAATCCTTATGGTTACAGATCAGTTCTGTGTCTTGACTGTGGTCGTGGTTACACCAGTCTATTCACGATAAATATCACACACACACACACACACACACACACACACACGCACAAATACAGAACATAAAAAATTGATTAAATCTGTAAAATTTATGTGGACTGTACCAATGTCAGTTTCCTGGTTTTGTTCGTGTATTATAGGCATGCCAGATATTATTACTGAACCATACTAAGTGAAGGATACAGGCGACTGCTCTCTACTATTATTTTATTATGTTTTTACAGTTATTACTGTTTATTGTCTGTTTCTCCAAACCTATTTTATTCAACCATAATCTCTATTTTTATTTTGAAACTAGCTGTGAATTTACAATTATTTCAAGACACAAAAAGAAAAGCTGATTATTTAACAAAGATAATGAAACACTTCTCAAACAAAAACATCTCCTGAAAATATTGTTTTATTATAATTGTTTTGGTTAGGTAGTACTATTTTTCTTACTAGAACCAAACTTTTCAATAGTTTCTAATATTGAAGAAAAGACATGTGGCAGTTACTACATCAATCCCGAGTCAACTACATTCTAGGTTTTTGGAATTGAAACAAGTGAATCTTTCTCTTTTATGGATCTTTCTTTCTTTCACCCTTAAATTAAGGTCATTTCACAAACTTCAAGATCCTCTCCAATGGAAAATAGCACCTAATAAATAACATATGGAAGCAATAATAGATGGATTTGCCTGGTTATTACCCACCTGGCATCATTTTAAGTTATGCCTATATACACATTTTAACCTCAGAATATATACTTTGTTGCACAGTTTTTAATATTCCCACTTTACTGACAAGGAAACATAGATTTGTTTCACAGTTAATAATGATTTACTGGGGAACACGAGAGTTTCTTCTATACCTAAATATTCAGGCATTTTAGTTACATTTTTGGGCTTTTAAATTTTTCTTCAGTTAAAGCAGTATTACCTTAATTTCTATGGTTGTCATTATTTGATGGGCTATTTGTTCTTGTAAATGGATCTTGCTCACAGGTCTATTTTGCTCACAAGGATGAAAAAAATTGAAAAAACACTATTTAGAAAAGTAGAATTTCTTTCTTTGGGGTCTTGTTAATGGACCATCTTGCTCACAGGTCTATTTTGCTCACAAGGATGAAAAAAATTGAAAAAACACTATTTACAAAAGTAGAATTTCTTTCCACGGGTTCAAGGAACAAGAGTTGAGAGGGAGTGAGGCTGAGAGAAAGATTGGTTGAAAGAAAGAAACTGGAAACCAAAGTGAAGAGATTGAAACATTACTCATCATTTTTTTCCTAAGGCAAAAATGTTTGACTTTTGTTGACCTTATTGTTAAGCCCTGATTTTTTATTCGTTTTAATAACTCAGAATAAAGCAACAGTGTGATGGGAAACTGAAAGATAAGGATCAAGCAAGAAAGACGGAACCAATGGGGAAAACTTTCAAGCATTGCTGGAGTTACACAAATTGTCCAGTGTGAATATGCGGAAATCGGTGAAAGGCACCAGCGCAAGGACTTCTGGGAGATGGCGAAAAAGCATGAGTGTGAGGAATTCTGGGAAACAGTTTGATGCGCACTTCCGGTGCTAGCTGGCGGTGGTGCCTGTGCTTCCTTGCGAAGCTTGGTGCTGTCTGAGGAGCAACAGGAATCCTCGTAGTCCTGTGCCATGGCTTCTCGGTATGATAGGGCGATCACTGTATTTTCCCCAGACGGACATCTTTTCCAAGTGGAATATGCTCAGGAGGCAGTGAAGAAGGGATCCACTGCGGTGAGCCAGCGACGTCTATGTCACCCCCGCGCCTGTCAGACCTGCTCACCCCACATCCCCGGGCTGCCTGTGCTCCAACTTGGGAACCCATGAGAGCAGATTAGAGTCCCCTGCTTGTGAAAATTACTTTGGTTTTGTTTTTTTTTAATTGAAGGAGATAATGCTTCTAGAATAAGTGCCTTAATATTGGAGTAAAGTTAATAGATTTTATTGGCTTCTGTTATGCAGCTTCTTTTGCTTAAAAATGGCTACAGACCCAAAATTAGTTGGGGTGTGTGTGTGTGTGTGTGTGTGTGTGTGTGTGTGTGTTGACTCTCCAAGATCAATTAATGCTGTGTCTAACATGAAAGAATATTCCTAGCGCAACCCACCTGAATGTTCCTGGCCCAAACCTAGGGATTCACATAACCAAGGAAAAGTTAGCAGTTCCTTTGTGGTGGAAACCATTTTTTAATTAATAATTTTGTTAAAAGATTGAAATCATCTAGGCCTGCGTCTGAATTACAAAACGATCAATATGATGAGGATTTAATCCTTGTTAACGAGGAAATGGTTAGAAGTGCTACTCCAAATACATCTCTTAAAAATGTGTACAGTCCCCACCCCAGTGTTGACTTTTTAAAAGCCTAGAACCTAAGAATCTCTACTCTTCTGCCACTTTTCATTTATTTTGTTTTAAAGCAATACTGAAGCTTTTTAAGAAACTATATCCTATTTTAGACTTATATATCCATATTACTGAATAACTTTTAATACTCAAGATAGTTGTAATACTGCTGCCAAATTTTAACTACAGCCAATAATCTTTGTGATTTATAAAAATTAAAAAGGACAAAGATGCCCTAGTGACCAAAGATCTGTTACTTCAAGTTTGCAAGTCTTAGATTGTGAACTAAAAAAAAATCTAATTTTTAAAAAATCTCTCTCCAAATTTCATGGGCATGGTTCTTTGTGTATCCTGGAAATTGAGACAGTAGTTATGAGAATACACAGACGAATTCTAAGTCCACAAGTGTCTGTATTCTTTCTGACTTTTCATACCAACTTCATAATGGAAGGAAATCATTCACTTGCATTATAAATCTATCAAATGAGAAGTGGCAAAAAAAAAAAACACTTGAAAGAATCATTTTTAAAGTATTTTTCTATTTAATTGGGCCCACTAGTTTTGCTTCTGTTTTATAAGTAATTTTTTTGAATTGTAAATTTAAGAAAAACCTGATGTAGTGTAAACCAGAAGGGTACCATTCTGATAAAAACAAAAAGTTATATAATCCCCAGCTTGGCATGTAGCATATGGTTAGAAAATAATGCCCAAGTTTTAGAGCCTAAAATAAAGGAAGTAATGGAGGAAGACAGGGGTGTAATAAGAAACCACACTGGCTCATTTAAAATGTTTTAAGAATGTTATAGAACTGATTGATAGTTCCTTTGTAATGAGCTGTAAAAGGGTAAGGATATAAAAATACCTATAGTGGGCATTTTTGAAGATACATTGGAAAGATGAGACTTCTGTCTCAGGATTCTGAAATTATAATTTGCATCTTTTATGGAGTTATTCATTGTGTTTCCTTGAGGGTGCTATGACCTTTTACATAGGGTAAAGTTTATACTGGCACTTGTTAATTACAGTAGTTGGTAAAATAGTCTTATCTATAAATTGTTGATAAGAGTTACAAATAAGCCAGGGTTGTCCAATTTTGACCAGTATATAGATGTGATATTATATAATGATTGAAAAATTATATGAGCCATAACTAGTGGGTTGGATTCTACTTTTTTTTTTTAGCAATTATCTGACAACATAAAGGGGGATCAGAAGGCTGTTTTTTGTTTTTGCTTTAATTTCCTTTTCTGTAAGTGCATATGTTTCAATAATATTTTAGAGTGGTAATGCTTTTGGGAAGATAATAAATCATGATGTTCCCATGAAAAAAGATAAGATTTGTTATCATTCCTCTTTCTGTCTTTAACTTCAAAATCTTATTGGCTGTATATTTCCTACTTTACTGATCTCAGCTCCAGAGGTTAGCCATGTAAGTCTTTCATGCACGCTCTTTTAATAAAAGAGCAATTTCTTGGTTGCCCTAATACGTGATTCTAGCCATGTAAGGGAAAGAGAGGAAAGTGCCTCTCTCCTGCTTTACATTTTATTTATCCTTACTTCTAGAGATACATAAATATATACAGATATGTTTTTCAATGCCTGGCACACACTGTGTCCCTGAGCTACATTTTCATCCTTTAACTCCTTATGTTTCTCTTTCTTTCCTTTGTGAAGTGTTTTTTCTTTCTTTCTTTTTTTTTCTTTTTTACCAGAAATCAAACTCAGGACCTTGCACTTGCCAGGCAGGTGCTTGTTCCACTGAGCTATATTCCTAGCCCATGGTTTTTGATCTATTCCAATCATTATAGGACTTTTTCTTTATATGATTTTTTTTTTTTTGGTACTGGGGATCAAACCCACAACCTTGCACTTGTCAGGCAGGCACTTATACTATTGAACCAAATCCCCAGCCCCTCTTTTTATGATTTTATAATGCTTTAGCAGGGTGCTTGGCACTATTTATTATTTGATTATTTGATATCTTATTCTCTTTAATTTCAGATATACTCTTCTCATTCCAACTATGTAGTAAGATTTTTGAGAATCCAAATGGCATAATTCCTGTTATGTGTTTCTGCTACACAGAATACAGTAGAGGTGCTAGGAAAGAAATAACCAACATTTAACTGTTACTTTATAACAGGCATTTTATATATGTTATTTAATATTAAGGATAGTATTTAATCCCCCTTTTTACATATGTAGAACCTATAATTTGGAAGCTTTTATAGCTTGTGGAATGTATTCAGCTAGAAAGTTATAGAGCTCATATTTGTACTTAAGTTTTTCCATATCCAAAGCCTATACTCTGCATTGCACCATGAGTTTTGTTCAATAAATATCTGAATATTAACCAGATGTCATTATCATGAATGTGGAAATAGATGTGTCACCTAAGAAAACTTAAGTTCTCTAAGCTTCTGTTTATTTAATAGAGAATAGACATTAAAATAGTACCTGTTTCATAGGGTTGATACAAAAATCGAGTGAAATACTAATACATTTTAAGCATCTTTCATAGTATGTAGTTCAAAGAAAGTAGTTAATAAATTTCACCTTTTTTCTTTGCAGTAGAGGAGATTCAACTCATTCTTCAGATTTTTATTCTTCTTTCTTTTGTCTTAAACTTTGTCTGTGGTTCTTGCAGTACTTTCATTTATTATCACAAGACTTTGTAGTTGCATACTTATATATCTTAAACTGGGTTCTGGGCCCTGTGATTTTGCTGCGAACAAGGTAGACTCAGAGACCTGAATGTCTAGCAGAAAACTTAGATGATTAAGAAAACAATTCCTAAAAGGCCTAAACAAGTGTAGTAACACAGAAGATACGGACATGACGGGAATTCTAAGTTGTAAGGGTAACCCTTCCTAAAAATAAAATATTTAAGTAGCCACTTAAAAGATGGAAGATAGCCAACTGAAAAACAAAACAAAACAAAACAAAAACTGAAAGAGTGACACCGGTTTTAGACAGCATTGATGCGCCCTTTGGGAAGACAAGTAGCAAACAACAGCTATGCTCTAGGAACTAGAAGGCATTCAGAAATGGTAAACTGACGGAAAAGTAGGAAGATCTAAAGCTAGAATCCAGAACCAGGTCATATTTAAGCTATTTTATTGAGAATATACTTGATCCTGAAAAATAATATTGTTAATCTCTAGAATCTTGTCGCTATTCTGTATTTTCAGTAGCAGACTGCATTTGTTCAGCCTTAAAGATATTTGCACGACCCAGCTAGAATTGTGTGTAGTTTTTTTTCTGGCTACAGTCAAGAGCATGTTGTAAATCCACCATTCAATATTATAAGTCCTCCCTTAGGACTTACTTGCCTGGAGGCAGTGCTGACTTTTCTTATTAAGAGAACTGCTTGGATGTAATGAAGGTGGTTGTTGTCCCATGTTTGTTTCGCTACAAAGAAAGCATTTATGCTTTAGGAAATAGCAACCAAGTATTTGACTTGAACATTTGAGTAGATGGATGTTCATTTTATGTTTTACCTCTTTGTAAAACTTTTAACAAATTATGGGAAATCTTTTTCCTGCTTTTCTAGTGTTTGTAAATTAGGTATGGATATTGAGTTTTATCAAATGCTTTTATAAGTTTTGTCATTTACATTCTTCTGTATTTAATATGTTATTGCTGTAATTTTATCTGTACTATAGAATAATTTAAATAGCTTAGAAATTAACTCATAGGAGAAAATTAAGATGAATTTATCAACAAATCCTCTAAACCAGACATCTGTTTTTGAGGGATATTTTTGGTGGGGAGGTGGCTACTGGAAATTGAACTCAGGACTTCATGCCTGCAAGACATAAGGGATCATATTTTGTTCTGTTTTTCTGAAGTTATTTCATGTTTGTTAATGAGATTGTGTTTTTTATTCTTTTTTTAGTCAATATAGGAAATAAAAGTTTTTCTGTTTTTCATCCTTTTCAGTCAGTCAACTTCAAACTTAGGGCTTATAAAATTACTACTTTTTCTCCTTTGTATATATTTATTTTAGTGTAAGAGGATTTAGCTAAATTAATTGAGAAATTACTTTTGATTATTAAAAACACAACCCTTAGTATTAACAATTTTATTTTTTCCCTAACCTTACTTTATAATTCTTGTTTCTTCTTACTTTTTTGTACTTTTGAATGATTTATTATTTCTAATTTTCCTTATTTAATTTAAAAAGAAAGATGATAAATTTTCACCTGACCATAGTTTTGACTACTTTTAGTATTAATATCTTAATTATCAATATTTTCTAGGTAGTCTACATTGGAGTTTTAATTTCTTAATTAAGTAAAAAATATTTAAGTGAATTATAAGAATTATCAAGTTTCCTTGTGATAAAAAATTTGTTTTTTTTAATGTGAGAAATTATATACTGAGATTTTCTTTGTGTCATAATGTTTGCGAAACTTTTGTATTGTCCTGTGGCTTAATAAGAAGATGTGTCATCTATAATATATAGGGTTGAACTTTTGTTCATTTGATGAAGGTGGGATGTGTAGGAAAGATTGAAGACTCTAAGATACAAACAGTTGGGGAAAATCTCAAACTTACAGATTTTAATGAAATGCAATAATAAAAGTAAGTACATTGATAAATTATCTGTGCTGTACTTAACTGAAAAATTTCATCTCAGGTCTAGTTTCCTACTTAGTTTGTTCTGTAGTTACTTCAATAATGCTAATTAAAACCACACTTTTTGCACAGCTGTGTTATATTAAACAGTACTTTTATTGTCATACTTGCCCAAATGGGAATTATAAACAGTACCTATATCCGAATTTTTAGAGTACAACTGTAATACAGAAATAAAATTCTCATATTTATGAACTAACAGAGGCTACAGTATAGTTATCTATCGTGTATATATACACATACACACATATATATGTATACCTATATCATCAAAAAGAATAGTTTGTGCTTTCATTGTTAGATCACTTTTTTCATGCCTAAATCTTGAAGCTTGAACAATTAGTTCTAAGATAAAATATGCAATATATTAACTAGTGTTAAATTTTCTACTATTCTTGGGCTGGGGATTTAGCTCAGCGGCATAAGTACCTGCCTTGCTAGCAGGCAGTTGTGAGTTCAATCCCCGGTACCGATAAAAATGAAAAAGACAAAAAAAAATTTTTCTACTATTCTTTTAAAATTGTGTATCATTTTTATCCTTTTGTTTTGCTTTTTAAAATAAAAAATAAAATTCTCATAGATTGCCGTCAGACTGTGGAGAATATGGCTTTCTCTATAAATTCCTGTTTGAAAACTGGTAGTATCCTTGTAGATTATTCTTCAGATTTCCCCCACTTCCTTCCATAAAAAGGAAAAAAGGAAAGAACAATTATTATTTATTTTCTCATCTCATTTGAAGTGAGATTACTTCATCAATATATAGGAGATATTAGTCCATTTTGCATTATTAGAACAAAACACCATCAGTTGGGTAACTTTATAAAAAAAGTTTATTTAACTCGTGGTTCTGTAAGTGCAAGTACCAGCACCAGTGCCAGCAGTGGCACCAGCTTGGGTATGATGAGGATCTCATGTGAAAGGACCACAAAGGTGAGGCATGTACAAGAGAAAGCTTTCACATGGCCAAACAGGAAGCCCTATCAATGACAGGGGTCAGCAAGCTTGCTCTTTTTATGATAATTTTCTCAAGAGCATTAACTTTAGAACTCTTCTTTTTTGAACTCTGGGACCCTTAAGAACTATGTTAATTCCTTCTGAAGTTAGGGTCTCAATCACCTATTAGCCTCTTACCTCTTAAAGGTCCTAATACCTCCGAATAGCCACACTGATACTGAAGGCCATGCCTCTACCCACGAAGCCCTGGGGAGCATACTCAGACTAAGCATGCCATAGCTCATTTGGGCTGTAGTAACTAACATAAAATAGGTAGCTTATAACAAATTTATTTCTCACAGTTTTAGAGCCTGAGAAATCGATGATCAAGGTTCATCTGGTGTCTGGTGAAGGCATAGTTCCTGGTTCACAGAAGCTGCCTTCTTGCTATGTCCTTTCATAGTGGAAGAGGCAAATGAGCTTTTGAGCCTGTTTTATAAGGGTACTAGCCCAGTTCATGAAGACCCCACCCTCATGTCCCTCATGTCCTTTCTAACTAGTCCCATCTTCTAATGTCATTACTTTGGGGGTTAAAATTGTACCATGTGTATTTGGAAGGGAGAATTAATAAGGGTTAGAATACAGTATAAGCATTTGGAAGAAGAAATAAACTTTTTTGCCATAGCAGTCAGTACTCAATTGCTATCCTTCCAAACTGTAAGATACATGGGAGAGCTTTTTCAGAATTTTATTTTCTTTCTTTACTACTTCCATTATCAGTACTGGCACTGCCACTTTACCAGTAATTCAGATGGATTGCCAGCATCTTTCATTTGAGTTAAAATCCTATATTCATGTAGCACTTTTTCAGGTATATCGTATGAGATTAAGACACTTATGTTGTTATGTTGGTATTTTCTTTGCATTTTCTATTTGTCTTCTCTCCTTTGACTATAGGAAATGGATTTTCAGTAAGCCAGTACCTATGTAGTTATTTTCCTAGAATTTTTCTTATTTTCATTGAATGAATATCTAAGGAAAGCCTTTTCCTTTAAATCATATGTTAGAATAATGTGTCGATTTTAAGTTTCAATTTATTATTCTTTTAATAACTTTACAGGTTGGAATTCGAGGCACAAATATAGTTGTGCTTGGGGTAGAAAAAAAATCTGTCGCCAAGCTTCAGGATGAAAGAACTGTGAGGAAAATTTGTGCTCTTGATGACCACGTTTGCATGGCTTTTGCAGGTACGTATGAACTACAATAATGGTGCATAATGGTTAGCCCTACTACCTCTGTTTTGCCTTATTTATATAACAAATATACTGATTTCTAATTAAAAACAACCTATTTTCCAAAGAAAATCATAACTCTTTATAAACAGATTTTTGATGAACTGTGATGGTAAACCATACACATTAAAATATGTGTATTAGATTACTATACTTACTCTATACTATAGATTAAGTAACTCAAGGTGTTATTTTCTTTTAAAACTTTGCTGTGTATATGTTTCTCTGTGTGTATTTTGTTTTGGCAGGGCTGGAGATAGAACCTTAGGGCCTTACAGATGCCGGGCAAGTCCTGTACCACTGAGCTACACCCCTACTCCTAAACATTTTATTCTGAACTAATAAAGATTCACAAGAAGTATATTACTTTTTATAGATTCACAAGAAATATGTTCCTGTTACGTTTCTTTCTTTCTTTTTTTTTTTTTTTGGTACCAGGGATTGAACACACAACTGCATGCTTGCAAAGCAGGCGCTTATGCTGCTGAGCTAAATCCCCATCCCCATGTTTCTTTAGCTTTGGATTATATTCACATTGTACAGAAGAAATAATTTAAAATATTTTATTGTACCATATTTCTCATTGAAATTTTAATCCAGCAGGTAGACTAAGTGAGTGTCTTGCCATTTCTTTCTTTTCCATAACATTTGCAAAGAGAAAAAAAATTTATTCTTTTCCTTCAACTGAGTATTTGATTGGAATTATACCCTCACAAGGAGTATTAGGCTGATTGAAAAATAGTGGCATATTCAGACCCTTTTTTAATTTTTGATTAGTACTGTCTTCATAGTCTGAAAATCCTTTAGATTTGCAAAAATAGATTTGAAATAATGAAAGGAAATGATTTTGTGAGAACAAAAACCAAAGTAAGAAATAACTATATTTCTAAGATTTAAAGAATGTTTTGTCTAGATAGTCTTAAGAGAACTGGAAAAGAAATAAATGGCCAGAGAAAAACAGATGCCAAAGTCCTTAATACAAACATTTCCAGACACTGCATCAGTTAAAATTTATGGTCAGTTGTTACTCTTTTACTAGAATACTTTCTGCCTCCTTATGGAAGTATAGAGAATTAAGCACAAGATGTTGGAGATTATATAGCAAGGTCAAACGTTTTCCTTTTCTATTTTAGCAATTCTTGAATTTCAATGCTTTGTCTTAGACTGAAAAAACCCGTGAAATATGACATATAACAGTTTTATTAAATGAAGCTTAAATTCAATGGATATAAGTTTGACAATGAAGTAACATTGCCTTAAAAGAAAATCCAGTTTACTATCAGTATTTAAACTATTATTCTTTAAAAATCATTTTCTGTTCAAAGTAAGATGTTAAAGTAAGTCTTAAAAGGAAATAAATCCAAATTTAGGAGAAAAAACACAATTTCTTTATAAAAGGCATGTGCTGCATGTGGAGGTGTTATAAGGAAGATTCCATGGTGGCTGAGACCATTTTGACAGGAAAAATGTATAGTGAAAAATATATTTCTGTAAAATTTTGACTGTTTCCCAGGACTGACTGCTGATGCTAGGGTAGTAATAAACAGAGCCCGGGTGGAGTGCCAGAGCCATAAGCTTACGGTTGAGGATTCGGTCACCGTGGAATATATAACTCGCTTCATAGCAACTTTAAAGCAGGTAGGTTAATATTCTAACAGATTTTTTAAGGTTTCCCTTTTACAATCATAATAGAGTCTATCATAGAAATCATATAATCTGGGGCCAGAGGTATAGCTCAGCAGCTCAAGTGCCTGCCTGTAGTTGTGAGGTTGTGAGTTCAAGCTCTGGTTAAAAAAAAAAAAAATCATGTAATCACTACAAGTGGTCAGTTTATAAAAAATCCTAAATTCTTTATCAGTTCATCCATTGATGGACATCTAGGCTATTTCCAAGATTTAGGTCTTACAAATTGTACTGCTACAAACATTTATGTGCATAAATTGCTATGTTACGATGCTTTTAACTCTTGGGAAGATACTAAGAATATTTGGAATAGCTGAGTCAAAAGGAACCTCTAATGGAGTACTACTACTCTGCTTTTAAGGATAAACTTGAGACATTTTTAGGTACATGGATGCACTTTGAGACCGTACTTTTAAGTGAAATCAAATTCCTGTGTTTAAATATTGCAAAGTCTCTCTTTTGTGAGAAACCAAAAGCATAAATAAGGAATAAAATGGGTGATAGATACTGAGAAGTAGGAACGAAATGTTCAAGTGGGAAGGAGAATTAGAAAGGGGGAGGGGGAAGGGGAAAGGGAAAAAAGGGAAAGGAGAGAAAAGAGAAAAAAGGAGACCAGAAAGAAAAAATGTTTTATAAAAGGTTTTGTAAATGAAGAGAAGAGTAGGTTAGAGAGTGGAGAGAGGAATGGAGGGAAAAAACAAAAGAACTAAGACACATTAGGTACAGGTACACATTCCCTGTGATGAATGTAATTAGTATGTATGACAAGTATGTACTAATAAAATAAATTTAACAAACAAAGAATCTATTGACATATGCATTTTCTAGAATCTTCTGTTGGCTCTGGGTTAAGGACAAAAACAAAACAGAACTACTAAATTTCTTTCCTTTTTTTTTTTTTTTTTTGTCTTTTTTGAGACAAGATTTCACTATGCAGTTCAGGCTGTGTGGAACTCACTTTGTAGCCCAGGGTGGCCTTCCATTTGCTGTGATCTTCCTGCCTCGCCTCTGAGTGCTGAGATTACAGGTGTGTGCCACCACACCTAGTTTTATTGATTTATTTGTCTGTTTATTTATTTTTTGGTACCAGGGATAGAACTGAAGACCTCTTGCTTGCCAGGCAGATGTTTAGGTCACTGAGCTAAATTCCTGGCCCCTGCCACACTCAGTTTTAAATTCCTTATTCTTTCTCACAACTGCTTCATAATCACACTCTTATCCAGGTAGAAATTGATTGATTTAATTACTAGATGTTTCAATCAGTTTGATTTTATATATAATGTAAAAAAAGAATAAGTCTAATCTTTTAAAGGAATATTCTGGAAATACAATAATAATGATTCTGTAAAGTTTTAGAAAGAAACAAACATTATTTTATCTATAAACTTAAATAGAGTTGATCAGGTTTAGATATGATTTTTTCTAAATCCATGCATAGATAAATGGTTTAACATTTAAATATAATTGTGATATACATGAGCATTATGTTAAACATATTTTGTATTTTCATCATATATGGCAGCATTACCCTTATATTCCTTTACTACATTAGACTGTAGTTACTATTAGAAATTTTACATTGTGTCCATTTCTTTAACATTTGTATTCATTCTCTCTGCCATCATAATATTATCTTGGTCATGGCTTTTGTTTTTCTTTTTGAATTGTATTGTTAATTAATTTTTAGTAAAGGATTATACGATTCTAGGTTGTAATTTAACGCTCTGGTTTTATGGAGATAAATCGCTTCCTAGAAAGATTGAACAAAATTTTACTAGGCAACTAGCTATCCCTGAGGAGCTATCAATTGAGTTTTTCACTTTTTTATTTTGCAAAATAAGTATTATATAGTACTGCAATAGTTGTTTTAATTTGTGTTTTATAATTAACGAGGTTGAATTTTTCTGAGTTAATTTGATATTTCCGTTTCTCCTCGTGTGAAATATCTTTTAATAGGCAATTGAGCATTTAAGCATATGCCTGTGACAGCCAGAATTTTGCAGTTTGAATCCTGGCCTTAACTACTTCTTAGTCAGTGCTTCCTAAAAATTATTTAGCTTACTTTTGCTTCAATTTTCTTACATATAAAAAGAGCATTATAATAATGCCTACTGCTACTTGGTTGAATTACATTATAGATAAATGATTTACTGCATTTCAAGCATATAAAATATTTTCTGGCATAGATGTTACTATGGATCTGTGGAAAGAGTTTTCACAAACTTAATGTGTTCTAGACACTAGTTTTGATACAGGGGAATGAAATCCCAATGTACTATATGTCCAGAACGAGTTCGTGTTCTCTAAAATCAAAGAATGAGTTTTAGGAACAATAAGAGCACAAGTATCTATTGAGAGAAAGAAAGCTTCTGTCTGAGAGAGAGAGAGACAGAAGGGATCCTGAGTGGGTTGCCAAAGATGCTATATTTTCTAAGGATTTTTAAAGAGTAAAACCATGAGGTAGACAGGTCTAAAGTTGGGAAAACTGGGAACTCGCAAGGCAGGTGGCCATGGGGTGGAACAAGGCTATCTATGGTCAACCAGTCAGTTTAATTGTTCAGATAAAACTGACCAAATCAGGGACAAGTGAGGAAGGAGTCACAGAGCAGTAGGTGACTCTTCCTATGGGGTTGGGATGGGGACTCCTAGCTTTTTAAGGTGATCCATACCTGATCCCTAATGTTTGTGCTTAAGGGTATGATTGCATTTTTTTTGCTTTCTGTTTTGAGATCTGGCCCACAGCAAGAAGTGTGTGTCTCCAACTCACAAGACATTTTGGTCCTCTGTGCCAGCTTTTTCAAGGGCCTACCCCTGTCTGACTGCCTATAGTATTTCTAACTAGCTCAGCTGCCTATAACAGTTTGACTTACAACAAATTTGTTTCTTTTTTAATTTATTAATTTATGTTGAAAGAAAGTACAATCTATTTATTTTATTTTACTTTTTCTATTTTCTTTAATTTGATATTTCCAGTTGTTAAAAAGGCATCCACCAAAAAACAAGAGACAAAAGTGTATACACAAGGTTTCTAATTGTGGTTTTAGGATTTGTTCTAGAAATATCAATGGTATACATGCAATATCTATGGAAACACAGTTGTGAATCTGTAACATCAAGATTGTTCTGAGAAAGCCTAATGATCCAGGACAGAAGATTGATATCTCTTGTGTACTTTTTGCACTTTTAAATCATTTCATGTTTTTTTGCTTGTTTGTTTGTATCAGGGATCGAACTCATGACCTTGCACTTACCAGGCAAGTACTTGAGCTGCTAAGCTAAATCCCCACTTTTAAATCATTTTAACTCTGGGAATATATTACTTTTTTATTTAAAAAAGTTGATTCAAGCTGAGTGTAGTGGCACATTCCTGTCATCTCAACATTCAGGAGGCTGAGGCAGGAGGATCACCTTGAATTTGAGGCCAGCCTAGAGCTATTTAGTAAGTTCAAGACCAGCCTGAACTATAGTGCAAGACCCTGCCTAAAAAAAAATGTTTATTGATCAAGTAAAGTAAAAAAGTCTTTTCTCTAAGTCATTTTACTTTGTACCTGAATACATTGCAAGTGTTTACATTCAAATTTTGAAATGTTCATAAAAATTTATATAATAAAATTGAAAAATAAGAAAATAGATGTATATATAGATAAGACCAGGAAATAAGGTACATTAAGCTACAGAGTTACATACACAGTTATGTATAGCCATAAAATTATGTATAATTTATAATACATAGTTGCCTTTGTATTAGTCTTTTGCTTTATGTCAGTGCTTCCTCATTACATGACATCCAGGAACACCAGTGTCATTGTGAATTCATGCCTTGGAGACAAATCCAAGAAGTTCTCTGACACTAAAGTGCTCCATTATCTATGAGGAGAAAAAGTATGCTTTTTCTTTAGGAGAAATAAACATTGTTTGTTTGGGGGCTGAAAGAAATGTCTCACTTGGATTTTTAATAGAGATGGTTTAGTATACAGTTAGCAGAAAATATCTGATCATAAAGTATCAACTAAGAATACTTGACAATCATAGTAACCAAAAAGGTATGGTATAAATATACTGTTAACTCTGTATTAAAGAAATTACAGTCTAATTATATTACTGAATATACACCAAACAGAAAAATATTTTCAAGTATATAAAACAAACTTGTCATACATATTATTTTACATATATATATATATAATTATTTATTTAAAATTTCATTATAAATTGTGATTAGTGCAGAAAGGATTCTAATAGTATGTAGAAGAATCAGGAAAGTAGATCATTTTGACACAAATGCTTTACTATTAAAATTTTTATTTGATAGCTAATAGTGTTATCCTAAAGCTAAATTTTACTTTTCAGAAATATACCCAGAGCAATGGACGAAGACCTTTTGGTATATCTGCCTTAATTGTAGGTTTTGATGATGATGGTATCCCAAGACTGTATCAGACAGATCCCTCTGGTACTTATCATGCTTGGAAAGTGAGTCACAAATTTTTTAGAAGTTGAGTTAATGTATTCACTGTAAATGTTTGTTTGCTTTCCAGGGACATGAAAAAATTACATTGTAGTGAAATATTGATCATGGCACAAATGATAAAAAGGTAGTCATTTACTTAGAAATGATGATTTTGAATAGTGAACACTTTGGTGTTTATTAATTGAAGGATGTTTTCTTTAGTTTTGAAAAGATGTGGCAAACCTAAACCTTGGTCTGTAACAGACCAAGTAATAGAAATCCTCTCCAGTTCCGATTCAATGTAAATTCTTCCAAATTAGTTTTATATCATATAGTTGCTTGCTTTGAGTAGAAATTGTCCTTTTGCTATTAATAAAAGAGAATTAAATGGGAATTTAAACTGAACACTGCAGTATTTACTGTGTCTTCTAGGAGAGTCAGGGCACTGCAAACTATTACATATACTTACATGTTAGTGTATAGCAGTGATGGTGAACCTATTAGAACTTCCAGCGATATAGACAGTCTGCCGTAAGTTCAGCACGCCGGGGAAATAGCCATGATCTTTGTGTGATTCAATCAAGCTTTTCTTGATCAATTACTACTCTTGTTTTGACATTCAGCTACTTACTTTGTCTGGTGGTGGACTGAAACCCTATATAAACAGACTAGAACCCAGAAAGTAGTGGCGGTTTCTAAAAGTAAATGCTTTCTTTTTTCAATTTTCTTTTATCAGTACATGTGTGCAGTACAAAATGATGACGTTTCCCATGGGAAGTTGGTACATAACACATCTTATTAGTTTTCTTTTGTCTTCTTCCCCTTGTCTTCCTCCCTGGTTACACCATCTCTTGGTCTCCTTCCCATTTACAAAAGAGCTATCTCCCTATCTTTGCTGTTATCTTTTTTTTTTTTTTAGTATGTAAGCTTTAAACAAGTTCACTACTAAGAACCAAATAGGTTAATAAGGAAATATTGCATGGTGTTTATGCCTGTGTTAAATAAAGATTTGATTTAAGCCAACCTGGTGATATAAACCTAGCACCTTGTGAGGCTGAGGCCACAAGAAGTTTGAGCCCAGTCTGGGCCACTTAGTGACTTAATCCAACCCTGTTCCAAAATAAAAACAGACAGTGTGTTACTCAGCATGAAGGACCTAAGTTCAGTCTTCAGTACCACCATCAACAAACAGAAACCAAAGGTAAGATTTGATTTTATCTAATCATACTTATAAAATACTGTTTTATAAACTATTGAACCAAGCCAGTTGAATAGTGTTATAATCTTACAACAAATTTTGGAATACTTCTGTTAACTGCATGTCTTTAAATCTATTAAATAATCTAACTGGTAATCAGAAGATACGGATTTACCTGCTACAGTATCAAATTTTTTTGCCAGTTAGAAACCTTTTACATATACAAGATTTCTTCTGCCTCTCAAATCAATGACCTAAACAAAATTATATTCTATCTTTAAATATTTTGAAGCCTGCCATCTTCTGTTGGCATTTGTCATTACATTATTACTGTTCATTTCAATATCATATTACAAGTTTGAAGTTTATATAATTTTTTATTTTAATTTGGTTGTTTTCTGGGGTATATTTGCATTCTATATCATTTAGGAAAATTGTCACATTTTTAGATTGTTGGAAATTTCATTTATCATCTTTGTCTAAACTGTGCTCTGCTGTTTATCTTGAGTCCTGTGGTAGGGTCAAGAGGATGTGAACTGTTCATGTGTATACACAGGTACACCCCACTATCTTCATTTTATGTGATGTGCTTGTAAGATTTTAATTGTGCAACATTTAAAACCTTTTCATATTTCCATACTAAGACTGAAAATTTAAGTGACTTGTTCTGGCTCATATCCCTCATTAATAGCAACACTGGAATTAAAATTCAGCAAATACAGTGAGGTTCAGGATTCAAGATGACAAATTAGAAGTATCCAGTACTCGCTCACTTCTCCATGAGATAAAATCAAACTGGAGAGCAGATACTCATTTATAGCAGACAGACAAGAGACTTGGAAAAACCCTGAGTCTTCAAATAGTGTAATGAGAGAGACAGAGCTCCTTGGTACCAGTTATGCAGCACTGTGGGAAATCTGGTATAGGTAGAGAAGAAAGGGGGCAAGGCCCACTACACACACCTAATGCAGGAACTGGTAACTGCAGAAGGGCAATCTGAACATACAGTGGATCTGGGATCTGCCTGAGAACAGCACTGAGAACTCACTGGACTTGCTAGCATGTACATTTAGTGCAGTGACAGGGAGCAAGCTAAAGAAGGCCTTCTTTAAGCTTGCTATTTTGGGAGTCAGTGGCCTTTGGAGTTTTCTGTCTTTAAGACTTTACCACAAGCATTACTACCCTGACCCAACTATCATTTGCCCTGAGATCCAGTTTAAACCATATGGAAGGGAATGGGACTTATTATCTCTTTAAGTTCAGTATCTTGGGAATATAGGAGTTTAGGAGACTGGGGAAGCGCAGGACCTACGTGTTGAAACATCAGAACAGTAATTAGTAGATTGTACTGACCCTCTCTTTCCCATGTAGATAGCTGTAATTCCATAACCTTCTACTCTTGAGATAGTCATCACTAAAGATATCAGAGGACCCAAGTATGGCAGCAACTGGCATACACCTGACCTTGGAATGCATACAGCAAGTATCTCTGGAATAAATCTCTGCTGAGTTAGCTTTGCATTCAATACTAGCTTGGACAAGTGAGCAGGGCAGGGAAGACCTACTTCAACTGGCTGTAATCACAAACTAGTGCACTGAAGACTAGTGCTGGTCTCCTGGGGAAACAATGCAACAGTAAAAAGAAAGGAGTAATCCCATGCTTCTACTCCCTGAAGAGACCATAGCTGAGAAGACATATGGAAAAGATCTGATTGACTTACCTTGCCAGCATTCATTCTGGTCTGCAAAATTAATAATCTTGGCAGAGAAGAAAAATTCACATCAGTTTTGATTCTGGTTTATTGTATATCATTTTACCTCTACCATTTCTTTATGCTGGTGTAGTTGTTAGAGTTTTTATTTGGTTTTTACTTTATTTCTGTCTCTGGTTTGCTTTCATTTGCCATTATTGTTGTTGTTTGTGTTCCTCTTTCTTTGTAGTGCTGCAGATGATGCCTGACAATTTGAGCATGCTGTGTTGATGCTCTGTTCCTGAGCTATACTTCCAGTCCAACTAACAGAAATTTCACCACACTCTACTCATGATCCAGTAGCATACAAGCCTTGATGGGCAGTTCAATTTAAAGGGTAAAGGAAATAAAATATCTTAGCTTGTGAGCTAGCCCCAAGAATGCATGCCTAGGGAGCCCTGCAGGTCTGCTCCTGGACATTTTATCTCATAACAAAAGGAAAGAGAAATAACACAAAATCTGTGCACACCACACCTGCAAGGGACCTTGGCACTGGTTATTCCCATGCTGTTAGACCACAACTGCTGACAAGTCTGAAGAATAACCACAGAAGGTATATGTAGTATATTCTGTTGTCTGTATTGCATCTGCGTGAACCACTAAAGGGATCCCATTTTTATGAGACATACAGAGAAATGACTCCTCAGGCTCTGACATAATATACATTATGTCAGAACCCACTAATCACAACCAAAGCACCACAATGAAACTACACTAAGAAGTCCAAGTGGAATTAAACATAACATTATACAGTAAGTCAGTAAGCTATGAAACACCATAAAGAGAAGTAATGAAGAGATACCAACAGATACACAAAACTCAACATAGATACACAGGAAATATCCTGGGTACAGTAACACATGCCTGTAATCTTGGCTACCCAGGAAGGATCATAAGTTTCTGGCCAGCCTAGGCAATTTAGTGAGACCCAGGCTCAAACTAAAAAGGACTGACTGAAACTGAGGATGTGAAAAAACAAGCAGTATGATATTTCATAAAGCTCATAATTTTATAGTGACATCCCAGAAATATCAAAGTGGATGATATACCAGACAAAGAAGTTAATGATTTTTAAAAAGATGAATGAATTCCAAAGCAATGCCAATAAACAATTGAAGAAGTTAAGAAAGCCAGTGCAGAATAGGAGAGCAGAGTTCAATAGAGGTAGAGATTCTGAAAAAAAAAATCCCAAATAGAAATCTTGGCGATGAAAAGCTCAATATGTCAGATAAAAATCTCAGTTGAAAACCTCACCAATAAACTAGTCCAAGCACAGCAAAGAATGTCAGAGTTTGAAGACAAGGTTGATAAACAGAACTAACAAGAAACAAAAAAGACAAAGAATTGAAATGTGTTATGTATTTGTACCAACTTCTCACAAGAAATTTAATCATTATGTACTGCAAACATGTTCTAACAAAAACTTAAAAAAAAACTCAAATGAACAATATATGCAGTATCTGTGGGACACCTTTAAAAGACCAAATGAACTTACAACTGAAATAGACTAAGGAGAAGAGCTACAAACTGAAGGCAGAGAAAACTTTCTATTTAATGTATGACACCAGAAAAATGTCCAGATATGGAGGAAGATACAGATATCCAAATACAGGAGGCATTTAGAGCTCAAAAAATATGGCCAGAAAAGAAATGCTGTTGTTTATATGTCTTTTTTTGTTTTGTGTTTTTCTAGAAATTTGTTTGTGTTGTCTTGTTTCATTTTGTTTTCCCTCTAATACAGAAAGGATAGGTATACATGTAGAGAATCATGCATGCATAGAACTTCTAATAAGCTTATGAGTCTCAATTGTATAATGCACAATGAAAAGAACAGTTACTTTAAAGAAAAAGAGACTAAGGTACCCAATGCTGATTCCATAGTGTCATGGTGTGAAATCCAGCAGTGTTATTATTCTTTGTTCAGAGTGATTTTAGTCTGTACTGTTTTGTTTAATTTCAACATACATGAAGGTATGGACAGCCTATTTTGAAGAGAATAAGAGACATTATGGCAACCATTGTTGACTTCCCTATTGTCTGGTCTTGAAGACCTAAAATGCCTTCATCATCCTGT